CAGCTTGCATTTCCATAATATCGAAATATGACGATATTTTAAATGTGGCTTTCAAGGGTATCCAGAAGATTATAAGAGACTGAAGCAAGATGTTAGGTATGCATGCCCTCGTATCTTATAGACCCACACTACGCTTTTTCGTAGCTTGACGCTTGCAATTCGGAACTGGTTAAAGCCTTGACAGAAATACAAGCCGTGTGCAATCCCAAAGTCGATATGAAAGTCTGCTGATAAAAAAAATCGGGAGATCCTTGAAATAGCTATATTGACAACCTGATTATTTTGTGCTGTTTATTGGTCGTTTCTTATATATATATATATAAATGGCCAACATTGGCCACGGGCCGGACAGCTAGATATTAATATATTCACTTGGCTTTCACTTGGTTTTCACAAAATTTAAGGAATAAATCATTTTTGGATTTCTAGTCTTGTGCTTGGGTATACAAACCCATTTAAATGATCTGAACTTTTTATGAAGATTGGACTGCAAGCATGCGAAGAATGCATTTTACATTGTATGGAATGAAGGGCAGAAGAAGCACAGCCGCAGGAATGTGTAAAGGAAAGATTGAGTGTTTGGCAGATCTGCGCTGCTTATAGGGTATCTTATAGTCATATACTCTCGCCTAATACACATTTTCTTGTTTCCGTTTGCATTTGCTGCTCAAAGTTGCTGCTGCTATTGTTTGCTCTGCTCCTGCCTCGCCTCCAGTCCCTCCTCTCTGCCACCGCTCAGCTCGTTTGCGCGCCCATTTACAGCCCCTCGCTCCGCGTCTCCGTCTGTTTGTGCTTTTGTGTGCGTTTTGGTCGCTTGCCCGTCGGCTGAATAATCTTGTGTGCGGGCTGCACGGCACTGGGCTGACGTTCTGGTCATTGCTGCTGGCTGGTGGCCGTTGGCCGTCGGCTGGTGTCCTTGCACGTTTTCCTTCCATTCATGAGTCCGGCAGCCGCAGTTGACCCTCGGCCTTGTCTTTCAACTTGACTTTCTGTAAGTGTAACGTGCAGCAGCGGCAGAGGCTGCACCTTTAGAGTTGCCACTGAATTGCATTTGGTATTCATGGCAACATGTGTGCAACACATTCGGCAAGGACATTCAGAGGGCTGGTTCGCCTTCAAATGGAATCTTCTTGTAGGCTCTTACAGTACATATGCATAATACTCCAACACACATATGCTCACACACACACACACACAGGCACACTCAGTTGTAGCAGTTTTGTACTTTTGATTTTTCCTTTGGTGGCGCAATTGCGGTGCGCTTTTTTCTTTGATTTTCCAACTGGTCTTGTTGGTTCGCCCCGCCACTGGCTATATACTGGGCCTCATAACGAGCCCAAGCAGCCGAGACACAAACAGAGATAGCCAGAGAAACAGCGAGTGAGGGCTGTAGAGACTAGAGACAGAGAGAGAGAAAGAGAGAGAGAGAGAGATAGAGAGAGAGAGAGAGACCTGCTGTTGTGCAGAGGCGGTTTGTTTTGTTTTGGGTTTTCTGTTTTTCTTCTCTTTCTTTTCTTTTTGTTAACCTTTATTACTTTTTAGCCAAAAGGCAGTTGGCTTTGCTTTAATGAGCCCAATTTTATTAGCTGCTTTAATATTATTCCTTGGGTTTTGCCAACGCCCATTCCCCTGCCCCTCTCCACGTCCTTTCTCTTTCGCTGTGGACTTTGCTTTGTGCTTGCAACGTTTTATGTACAAACGAATTTTCGACTTTGTTTTAACATTTTTGGAATATTTGCTCGAGCCCGGGCAGTTGTAATAAGTCCGACCGGGCATACTCGTATATAAATATCGTCAACAAAAAAAAAAACAAAAACACACATTCCCACTGAGTATAGTTTGGAAGCACTAAGAACTGATTTAGCCCCGGGCTTAAACATGTTTTGATTAATGCTCAGTTGAAGCAAATATTTTGTTCAGGTCTCAAGCTTGTTACTTTTTACTTTTGATAATGAATTGGCGCAGTTGACTAATGGATCTCCAGTTATCTGGAAAGTAGCAAAGAAAGTGTAGATAATCTTTTTAATGGCCATATTCCTTTGATGTGCATCAGTGGTTTGTTACCAAAATATATATCCAGAAAGACTTCAATGATTTTTTTATGCATTTGTACGATTCCGTAAAAAGTGCCAGTGATGGATAATCCTTGAATTTTAGCTGCTGAACACTGATTTCATTAGTGTTGAAAAACAACTTTAAGATTTGAATTTCAGCTTTTGGACAACATTCATTTCAGCAGTGCTGGAAAACACTTTAAGATTTGCATTTTAGGCAACACTGATTTGATTAGTGTTGCAAAACCACTTTAAGTCTTGAATTGCAGCTAATTCGCAATTTAATTAATGTCAATTCACAATATATCAAAAGCTCCGGGCAGAAAACGGCGTATGCAAATGAGTTAAATGTTTTCGGCTTGTAAATCTCTCATTTATAAAGCTACCATCGCTGGCCATGATATCATCATAGCTGTAGGCCAGTGTGATTACACTAAACTTCACAACTCGAAGGGCGCGCCCCTTAAAGAGCATCCCACGCTGTTTACATTGCCTACTTTTGAGCGCGTCAGGATTTTAAAAGCTCTTTCACTTTCCGTTGCTCGCCAACTGTGCGGCCAGCTTTTCGGCTGTGTTGGCATAAGGTTACCACCGCTGCTCCCCCACCGCTGCCCGGCATTGCTCGGCAGAATTAGTGTAAATTGCAAAAGTTGGTCTTTTTTTTTGCTTTGCCATCTACTTTGGGCAGACATTTTGTAGGCTGTGCTTAGTTTGGGGTCTTGTGGTTGCCATCCGCTCACTTATTATTATCGTCATGGTCATGGGCCTGATGCGCTCATAACTTGATCCATGGTGGTATTGTGTGTGGGGGGGGGGGGGGGGGGGGCCTTGGGTGTAGAGGCTGCGGCATTTGACAAGCTTTCTAATTTGTTTTTAATTTTCAGTTTTGCTGCTGCGCCTTTTCTGCCTGTCGCAGGCATTAATTGTTTGCAGCACCTTTTTGCACCTGCCTGTGTGAAAGTTCTTTTGTTTTCTTTCTCGATTTTTTATTTTTTTTGTCACAGTCGAGTGCCGCTGCTCTTGGCCACGCCCCCACCCAGCTGTCTGTCTCGCTCTATGGCATATTAATGAGCTCGTCTTTAACACGCTTTTGAATTAGTTGGCAGCCACGTTGTCGTTTTCACCTTGCGCAACTTTCTTGATGCTTTGCGTCGCAGCGTTTGCCGCTGATAAAAACTTTCAGTGGCCCATTTTAGCGGGCCCCGCGTGGCAGCCGCAGCGCCCGCTGCTCCTATTTGCCGCCCGACCAGACACTTGCGGCTTATTCCTGGCTCCTTAAAGCCGCCATTTTAATTTGTCCCAAGTTTTAGCGCCGCCATTTGCCATTTGCCACGTGTTTCAGTTTCAGTTGTTGCTGTTGCTGTTGTTTGGTTATTGCCTGCCATTTTCCACTTTGAGTTGAACAACTTATTTCCAGTTTCTAGTTGTTGTTGTTGTTTTGGCCGGCTGCTTGCTGCTGGCTTGCCTCATTTCGCGCCCAGTTTCCGTTATAATTTGCTGAGTTTTATTCAAAACCTTTTGGCTTCATTTCGCCGCCTGGCCACGTCCTTGCTGTGTGGCCAAAACGCGTCTAGAATTTTACTTTTGTCTTTTTGCCAAGCACCGCGCAGCCATTCGCATCATAACAATTAGGTAATGCTGCCACGCCCCTTTGTGGCCTGCCCCCCTCCAGCACAGCCAACCTCTTTGCTCGATTCGAGTCCGAGTTTTAGCCTTTGCAACTTTAAAAAGCTGCTGGCTGGCTTGCTGCTGTTCATCTGCCTAGCTGTGCTTCAGTCGTCGTTGTTATTCTTTTAGTTCGTTATCAAATGCTGACGTAGGCACACACACAGCATACACAGATACACACGCTCACAATTGTGTGTTTGCGTAAAAATTTCATACGCCAGCAGAAATTCATTCGCGCGTGCTCCTCCTTGGCAAGAATTTTGCACGTTTTCTATACCATGCCCACAGCCCAGCATTCCACAGAGGCCACCATTCCACAGTGGGGATGTCCAGTCAAGTCGACAGCCTTTGACAAATTGACACATGTTTGCAGTTGTAGGTGTGTAGGTGTGTGTGTGTGTGTGTGTGCGTGTGTGTTTGTGTGTGTGTGTGTGTTTGTGTGTGTGTGTGTGCGTGGGCGTGTGTGTGCGGTTGGGTTTGTGTATGATTTATAAATCAGCTGATGCCTCATGCCCGGCCCCAGTGGTCATTTTGGGCGGCCACATGCGTTGCCGGGCGTCAATTTCCAGGCGCATTTGTTGCGGCCTACATGCGGCACGCATAAATGTTTCACTCAAATTGCCACAATCGCATCCTCCGCCTACTCTTCAATGCGTCCCAACACAACATTGAGCGTTGTTTAGGCAGGTTGTCGCAGGTGCGGGCTTTAAAGCGTTTTACAGATAAACGAATCTTCAATTGAAGTATTCTTCGACTTTAAGCAATACCTGGAATATCAATTTGTAATCTGAGCTGCACATGGCCTTTAGTTTAAGTCTACTATTAAAATATTACTAAAGATTCCCGCCAAAAAGTTGTTTTACTTTTATTTCTTCTTCTGGCTTCACTTGACTTTGATGGAAGTTTTTATATTTTTCGATAATTAAATTTTGCTGTGTAGGCTGCGGTTGTCGTGTTCCATATATTTTCTTTGTAAAATCAAACAGTTCGTGGCAGGGCGAAAGTGGGACCTAGCTAGGTGGATAGAAGAATAAATTATCAAAGGAACTGAGTAGTCCAAGCACAAGGCTCTGTAGCTTTTAAAACTTAGAAACGAAGTATTCGACAGACAAATAGATCCGGCTAGCTCAAAGTCGCTCGCCGTTCTGATCAAGAATATATTTAATACATTTATACGTTGAAGTATACTTTTAAGCCCTTTTCACCCACAGAGCATGACACTAGTCAATATCGATTTTGCAAATGCAAAAACTGAACGTTGCAAGTTAGTAAAAGCCGTTTAAAATTTTCAAAATATATTGTAACGTTCACTCACGTCAGTAAATTTTTACAACATATGCAATGTTTGTTATACAAATGTGAATGCTTCATTGTCTAAATTCGTTGCTTTTTTGGGTTTCGAACAGCAGCATAGCTATCGCAATGGAACCAGGATTGTAGGAATTGCAATTTAAGCGGACGCCCAGCATTACGGCATGTCTTCGGTCTCTTTGCAGCTATGAGACAATCGTCTCCAATATGTTTCCTCTTAAGCCAACCAGATCCACGGGCCTCGCCACTCCAATTGTTCTCCATCGGTTGTGCTAAGTATGAGAAGCGGTATATTTGAAAAAGAGAGCGGATTTTTGGACAATTGTTCTGCACTCACGTTGCAATATTTCAAGAATTTCCCTTTTATTCCACAAACAAAAATTTATTTACCTGTATGTATGTATATGTATATGAATTGGAGCTAGAATGAAATCTGAAATGTGTTTACAAACATTCTACTGAGTCAGACAGCTAAGTCAAGGCGTGCCTGGTAAGCCAAAAAGTATGTTTCTAGCGACTAGATATTAAACAATTCACATATACATATGTACCTAATATTTTGACCGTGAGTGTATACGAATTAAGGCCATCTTTGCATCGTAATTAGTGCAGTCTGGCAACGCCAAAAGTCCTAAAACTGCTTTTACCATTCTGGTGAATGAACCGAGCGGATGGTCGCTTTTCTATCAACATTCGAGTTTGTGAATTTGTTGGAAATTTCCATCAACAAAATGTGGTAAATGGTTGCCAAAAATGTTCATAAATTGACATTGTCAGACAAGAAGCTGTGTAATATTCTTTGGTCAACTTGGCATTTAATGGCAAACTGTTTGGAAATTAAAAACTCGCTTAGTATATGGTTGCCCGTACAAGCTGGGATATAACAAAGGGATTCATATCATGTCTAGAGGGCTGCTTAATTAAATTCCTCAGTTGAGCTCTTCTTTTGGCTCTTGCCGCATTTCACAATTGGCCAAAGGGTCCAAGGGTTGGCTTCTATTATACATGCGCTATTGTTCCCATATTTACATGTCTCAATGAGTATCTTACTGGTTATCCTTTGAGAAGTTTTGTGTGCTATTCAATATTTGATTTGATGCCTTCCCCAGTTGCAATCCATTGAAAATAACATGAAATTCCAGGAATATTTTTTCTTTATATTTTTCGTTGTTTCGATTTTGTGATTATTTTGTTTCGTTTCGGTTCAGCGATGCTGAATTATTACATGCTTTTGCTATGCGTGTGTGTGTGTGTGTGTGTGTGTGTGTTCACTGTCTATTATCAACATTGCATTTTGGCAATGTCATTGAATTTTCAATTAAAAAGTATTGAATAACCTATAGATGGCTTATTGCACATAAAACAGCTTGCAGTAGTTGCGGGGAGTTTTCGGGACTTAGTTGGCTTGGGAGTTGACTGTACCCATTCGTTGGCTGCACATACATATATATATATGCATTTGTATATATTGATATGTGCCATATTGCTGGGAATATCAACTTTAATATGTATGTTCGTCTCTGTGTGTCAGCTGTCAACTCTTGTAAATATGCTCGACCTTTGGCTTTGCTTTGTTGTCAAAAGTTTCTACAACGTTCTGTTTGTTGTTGTTGCTGTTGTCCTGCCTTGTCGACGTATCAAGCTCAAACATGCAAACTGCGTATTGCGAGCTGGAAATGATATTTCGAGTGTGAATGTGTGTGCGTGTGTGTGTGTGTCTGTGTGTGTGTGTCTGAGACTGAGATTGGGTTTGGTAGAAATGTCGCCTGATTTGTCGCAGAAACTAATCAGAAAATGTGTGTGCTTCTTGTTGTTGCTTATATTGCTGCTGCTGCTGCTGTTGTTGTTGTTGTTGTTGTTGTTGTTGTTGTTGTTGTTGTTACTGCTGTAGTCATTCACTATAACGACCAGCCGCAGACAGAGGGAGCAAAAAAGTTCGCTTAAGTATTTGTGTGCATATGTAATTTGTGTGTTGTTATTGTTGCCAGGCTCATTGCACGCCATTTTCCCATTTTCACATTTTCATACATTTTGATTTTGATTTTTCTTTTATTTTTGCTTTCTTTGCAATTCAGTTCGCTTTGCCTTGCTTTGCTTTGCCTTCTTGCAGCCCTTTCTGAAACAGCAAATGCAAAATATTGACTGACATTGTGTATGTGTTAGTGTAAGGGTATATGCTCATATGAATATGTGCTACATAAGTATTTGAATGTGCTCGTGCAAGGGGCTTATGGCCCCAAGTTGCGTCAGGCAGACACAGTTTTTCTATTACGCTCTGTTATGGCATGTCCTGTCTATCGGCACAGTCTGTCTCTCCGGTCCCTCTGTCTGTTGAGAGTTGTTATGCCTGTCGTCGTTGTCTTTTTGGGTGCCAGCCCAGTCAGTTTGTCCCCGTCCACCGTCCACCCTCCGGCGTACCTCGTTCCCGTGGCCAGCTCCAGCTCGATCTCTGTCTTCGTTTCTGTCTCTGTTTCTGGCTCACGGCTGCGGCTATGGCTGTGGCTGTAGCCGGTTGCTCGTGTCCTGTCCGGTTAAGTTTAACAGTCAAGGACTTTGTTGTTGAAATGTTGATTTTTGTTGATTTGGCTTAGTGGCTGCCACTCGCATCACATCACATCACAATGCCTGTGTATGTGTGTGTGTGCTTGTGTCTGCGAGTGTGTGGCGCCAGCAGTGAAAGGACATGGCGTGCGGGAGTCCACCTCCTCCTCGACTCGAGGCCAGTGGCCAGCAAATTTTCTAAAAGCAACTAAACTGCTGATGAAATGGATTGTCATGTGCGTTTCAATTTCCGCCAATGACATTCCACACACACACACACACACAATACACTCACACATACAAGCGCAGTCTGTGTATAAAAAGTTTGCACAAACTTTCACCATGTTTTGAGTGTGCGTGCGTGTGCGTGTGCGTGGTGTGTGTGTGTGTGTGTGTGTGTGTGTGTGCTGCCATTAAGTGCCACTGCATGGGCGCTAAAGCGAACAGTGTGTGGGCGTGCTTGGGTTAGATGGGCGTGGCTGGCCAGCCTTTGAGCCGTCTGTGTCTTTTTGTGCTCCACTAATGAAAAGGATAATAAACTGTTATTCGGCTGGCGGCTAAACAAGTGTGCGTGCGCGTGTGTGTATGTGTGCCAAGCATTTTATGCCAAAATGAATCAAACGACAGCAGTTAGATGTATCCATAACTTATGAATTTAAGCACTGCGTTTATTACACAACACAAATTAATTGAAATCGAGCACAGTTGAAATTTATGTGATGCTCCAAACTCAAAAGTCCAAAATACGAGCCTCTTACACATGTCTCTTATATCAAGTTAAAGCAGACTTTTCGAAATGCGGCTTTAAAATAACTTTAATGATTTTTCTCTGGCTGTAAAACTAACAAAATATTCGCTGGTTTCCCTCAAGATTCGAATCTTTTTCATGCCTCATTTCTAGCACTTTTCATTAGAATTAGGTTTAATTAATATTAAATTATATTATACAAGAAAATAAATCAATGCCTTTTTCTTAAGGTTGTTCGTTTCCCCTTTCTCATTGCTCACAAATTTGCACATTGACAAAAGAAAAACTGTTTTGTTTGAGGCAAGCTTAATCGAATGCTGAAGTGCCACTTTGAGCTGTTTATGAATACATATTGAATACTCTTTGCACAATAATTAATTGATAGAGCGTTTTGTTCAGCTGCGACTTTCAGCTGCAGCATTGTTGCCACAAAATGTTGCAACTTTGACACAAACTCATTAGCTTGAAGTGCGCTTAAATCTATGAGCAGTCGCCAGCTTTCATCCACTTTGCTACTGGCTGCAAACAATTTACACTGCCCATTTCCAGCTCTGCCTGGGCACAAGCTATCCAGTTGAAGTGGCCGGAACGGGAAGGGACGGGACAGGACGGGAACAGGCAATAGCGGGCTATTCGACAACTTGTTGGGATGTTTAACTATTTTGTTTATGAAAATTACACGCAGTCAATGCGACTTTGTTGGACATAAATGTCGATGATGACCTCAAGTCGAGCGGGTAAAAACTTCAGCATCCACTTGAACATCAACTTGACGTTGATCAGCGCCATTTCTGGGGCTGTGACGACTTCCGCTCTGGCAGCTGTCTCGCTTGCTCGCTCACCAATGCCATTCCTATCTGACGGACTGACTAACGGCAGTTTCAGTTTCGGTTTCAGTTTCAACAACACAAAATTGTTCACTTCAAATAAGGAGAAAGAAAAAGAAAACTTCAAGGAAAAAGAAAGAACAGAGAGGGCAAAGAGAAGGGAAAACAACAACAAGAATCAACAGCAGCGAAATGAAAGCAAAAGGCATCAACTGCAAGCCGCTGGAGACAGCCGGCGTTGTTGGCTTCAGGCGGAGGCAGGAACCAAAGGCAATTTTGCCACACATTCGCCATTTAGTTGTTGGCAGTTTGTGTACCGTTAGAAAAGCGCGCAAAAGTAAAGTTTTTGCTTTGCAAACAACAACCAATAAAACTTTAAGCAATCTTCCACAGCTTGAGCGTGAAGGAGCGGATGTCCTCGCCTCAGCCACGCCCCACACCCCTCACCCACCCTATTCGTCTCGCCTGGCTCAGTCTTGTGCTCGTCTCGTCGCTGGTTAGTTTCAGGGCATCATCACAACCAAAGGATAACAACTTTTTGGGCGCAAATGCCTTGCATACGTTTCGCGCCACTCCTCGCTCTACATATTTTTTCCATTTTCTTCCATTCTATACCCTGTAGCCATTGAAAATGGATAATATGTGCACATGTATGCGTCCATCTCTTTGTCCGTCTCTGTGAGGACCTGAAATTTTAATTATTCATTCTCATATATTACACACGTAATCAAATTATCATATATTTTTTGATATTACGCCCAATTCTATTTAATTGGTAAATATCGATTTAATAAAGCATGTATAATGGATTCTTATATAGTATACATCATTTAGATTTGACTTTTTGAATAGTTCGAGTGCTTGTTACAGGGTACGTATTAGTCCGACCTGCTCGTCAAGTGCCCAATTGCTGGTTTTCTTTGCTCTTTTTTTTGCTATGTACCAAATTTGTTTTGGACTTGTTTTAATTTATTTGCTCAGCGCTTTTTTCTCAACTCCAAACGCCACGCGTCGTCCTTTGCATCCTTTGAGCAAGTGCTAGGTACCAGGTATGAGTGCATGTGAATGCATGGGTATGTGTATGTGTATGTGCAGCCAGTCGAGGAGGCATTGGGAAGGAAGTTGTAGTAGCGGCGTTTTCCGGTTTCCGTTTTCCCTTTTTACTCGCTATACCCAATAAAATGGGTTTTTTTCTTTAAAAAAAGAGGGGTATAATAGTTTTGTCTCAATTTATGTAACAGGCTAAAGGAACAGTTATATGTATGCATGTATTAAGAACGAAGAGCTGCCCCAGAGCGTTAGAGAGTTGAAACATAAAATATATGTGTTTATTATATTCCGCCCATTTTTATAATATCGATAATTATTGATTTCGATACCTTGTTTTTTTGAGCATGTCTTAATTTTTCGTAAAATCTTGATTTGCAGCTTCATGTATTTTAAACACAGACCTAAAATGTATTCTTTTTGAAGAAACCTCTACCTCTAAGCCTAATTTGATGAGCTAGAGCCATGTGCTTTGGTATGTGCAAACACTTGGATGACAGAGGGCTTTAAAATGATTGGACTATAAGCACCGAAGTTATTCAAGCAAGCATTTCCCATTGTCTGGGGATAGGAGAAGTGTATCTGAACAACTGGGAATTGTGTCCAGGGTATCTGCTCGTTGGACATGCTCGATGAGAGCTCTCGTACACTCTCAGCGTCAGCATCATGACAGCTTTGGCAATCTGCAAGCCAAGCCAAGCCTGTTCCCGCCAGCTCTTCCGCCTCCTGCTATTGCCCCAGACGCCCACAGCGGCAAAGCAACTCTTTTGCTGCAACTCGATAAAAGCAACAACAACAACATCTGCAAAATGCAAACAAATAAGGCAACCAACAAAAACACATCAAATTTGTTTTTGTTTGCCATGCAACGTGTTTTTAAATTTATTTTTAAGTTTTGTAACAACTTGCCAAAATGTTTGCCAGCACACACAGGCACGTGTGTGCATCTGTGTGTGTATCTGTGTGTGTGTGTACGAATGCACAGTTTTGGTTTTTGCAGCTGCAGTTCTTTCAGCTTTTCAGTAAGTGCTCTTTAGCACTTACCACATCACTTACACACACACAC